AACATGGTAGTTTTATTTTTTAGGTACAAGCTAGTGGAAGTTATTTTCAAGTAGAAGTTTTTTTTTAGTGTGTTCAGTTATTTTGTTGATATGAAAAATGTTAAGGTTCCGTTGGGCGTTTCCAGGATATCATTCCCTCAATTTTATATGCAATAGAATTTTGCCACTTCACCTTTATCCATGGAGGCTCATGTATACTATAATTACTTAATAGTGGTAGTTATTTTCTGCAAGAGACTAAAATTAAAAGATAAATAAATAAAAATAGACTTGTAAAGTAAGATAAATCTATATCTATATCTATACTACTCTAAAAGGATGAGTGTTTTTGTAAAAATATGAACTACCTAAAAAACCCTTACTTTGGCATATTTTTAATGGCAAATTAGTAATACACTAATACACATTATATTTTATATTTTTAAATATTAAAATGAATTACCTAATAAACCCTTACTTTGACATGTTTTTAATGGCAAATTAGTAATATATTAATGTCCATCATATCTTATATTTTCAATTATAACTAATATTTAATTAATTAAATACAAATACATGAACAAATCATTCCACACTTCTAAAATCAACTACAGTATGTTGGTTTGGCACCATTATTTCTCACAAATTTGTTTTCTTCCACATATCTCTAAAACTGTTTGATAGGATATAAAATTGTTGTTTTGAAAAACGTCATTATTTTTAATATAATTTTAATGTTAATATTGTAATCACATTTCATAACTCTAATATATAAAAGTTCCTTAAAGAAATTAAAATTGATCCAACAAAAAAAGCATAATAAACACTTATAAAACTAGAAATCGATATTATTTTTTTCTCATAACGACCACAAAGTATAGAAACATTATTTTCAAAATAACCTATACAAAATGTATAATAATATGCGAGATTAATTGTTGAATGATTGTTCTGCAACCTAAACTTATAATCAATTCAATTTCTTCGATACATAAGACCAGAATAATTTTATGAAATTGTATAATACTAAAACTTAATCTATTCATTTTCACGTTAAATGAGATACCACTTTAGCAACATGGATTAATTTTAACCATATAATTATCTACAAATAAATTAAAAATATCTCGAGAATCATAATATGATTTACATGTTGAAAATTAATTATTTTAATCAAATAATTATATTCATATATTATCATTACTCATCTATCTATTAATATGTGTTATTATTATAAAATGGTTTTTAAGAAAAAAATGTACGAAATAAAAAATTTATATATTTGAGTATAAATGAGAAGATTATAATTATATATGATATAATATAAAGATATAAAATTAATTGGTTTAAATATAAAATTAATTGGTTTATAATTATATACGAACAAAAAGTCTTTGAAAATTACTACTTTTTTGCTGCTACCGTTTAAATATAGGGATTCTGTAAGAAATTGGTTTTCATAAATAATGATCCTATATTATTTATTTTTAATTTTAAATAATTAAAAAATCAAAAAATTTGTAATACATAATGTATATTTTAATTTTGACTCCATAATAATAAACTTTGCAGATGACTAAGAGTATCGTAATATAATAGAATTCTAACTCTTCTCCTATCAAATATTTTAACAAATGATATGTTTCTCAATATTTTCTCATTGTTTTGATTGTTTTGTTTTGTCATTGTTGGAGAATAAAGAAATGATCTTTATCTTGAATTTTATAATCATTTTATATGATGAATAATGTTAGACAATAAAAGCATTAAAGAAGTTATTAGGCACACAAATATTGCATATTCAAACGAATGTGAAAGATATTATGATAAACAATTCTAAAATCATTCCAACAACCACATGATGGTCAATAATTTTCAAATAATAGATTATATTGTTCGTCTATATTCCAAATAAATAACAATGTCGGAGTATCAAAACAATTTTGAATGTTCGAATGAAGTTGTCACTTTTTATAGAAATATTTATAATCTCATTGGTATATTGTACTCGAACATATGTGCAATTACTTTAGAGGTACTTTCAGGTAATGTATGATGATTTCAAAAAATAATTTAGCACCTCGGGAGAAGTACATGTAACCAAAATTTTGGAAAGTCACTTTTATTTGGAGATAAAATTCTTTCCCACCTCGTGGGGCGATGCATCAATGGGGTAGGCACCAATATGTCTAGAGACAAAGGAATGTAGTAGTTTATACAATGATAAAAAAATACCAGCAATTTTAATGACACAATTAGTTATTTTATAGAGATATTTATGCATTGTTAGTAGAAGT